TTCATTGATGTCTAAAACAGCATCAGTTTTAAAAAGTAATGGTTTTAACCTATTTCCCAAACTTGGATTTATTATATATGATTTGAAAAACAAAAAAGAGGTGGCTGAATAAATTTGTCATGAATGTTACCAAATACTATGGATAATTTAACTTATCAAATATTTTCTTTCCTTGGAATGATTATTTCATGATTATTTAATGATTATTAAAATATCATTATTTTAGACTCCACTCATTTCAGATTGGACATCCTGGGTTTTATGTTAACTTAACATATTTCATACATATTCCAACATACTAATTTTGGAAGTTATTTGCCTAGAGCTTTTCCATTGGACTGTTTTGTTCTATCTCTTTTATTCTACTAGTATCCTGAACTATAAGGAATACATTCAATTTTCATTCTGTATTCTGTTTTTAATCTTTAACATTTCAGATAAATTAAGTATAAAAGAAAGAAAAATAATTTCCCCAAATGTATCACTGAATGCTTACTTTCTTGATGCAAATCACTGAACTGTTTACTCACTGGAAAACTGAGGGATCAAAGACTAAACCACATCCTGAAGTGGCTGATAATCTTGTGTGAGAGACAGCATAATCACGTAATAATATATAAGATATATAATTGCCAGTATAAAAATCATATCTCAGTCTACATAAAAGAATCAGCTTCTGAAACCTGTAATCCTAGTGGCTTGGGAGGCTGAGGCAGGAGAATCTTGAGTTCAAAGCCAACCTCAGCAAAAGCGAAGCCTTAAGTAATTCAGTGAGCCTGTGTCTCTAAATAAACTATAAAATAGGGCTGGGGATGTGTCTCACTGGTTGAGTGCCCCTGAGTTCAGTCTTCAATCCCCAATATTAAAAAAAAAAAAAACAGAATCAACTTCTGATTCAAAATCACTTCTTTCTAGTAGATTCCAATATATTGTCTCCAAATTCCTTAATAAAATGCCAGTGAGAAACATTACAGAAAGTTAGCAATCCCTACCACTGATGATAGAGAATCTAGCAACTATTGAACTAATTTAAAAGTAGATGGGTCAGTATTTAGAAAAATCTATTTGTGTTTCAAAATGTGGTTGGGCTTCACAAAACATCTACTAGGTCTGAAAAGAGCCAGCCCCTCCAACTCCTTCTACCATGTAACCCATGACTCATGGGCAGTGCTAAGAAGAAAGCCAGATGAATATGGCATCTTTATTATTCAGCTTTAATAACTGATTTAAATGAGAGATGTAAAGGAATCATTTTAATGTGAGGGAGACAGAATAATACCTATCTCACACTTGCCCCCCTAAAAAAATAACAATAAACCAAAAGTTTTCAGCTAAATAGGGGCAGAAATGTTTATATAAAGAGAACAAAGAGGAATTTTATGTCTACCTTTTTTGAGAACTGAAACTCTCTTCAAGCAAATCAATTGTTAGATTTTCAGAAGTTCTAATTTCAAACATAATTTAAGCAGAGTAGCAATATAGGACATAATTTAGTTTCAAAGTTAGATAGATTTGTCAATCCCCATCACTATGGAAGTTTTATTAAACCTTCCTAGCATTCATTTATTCATCACTAGAGTCACTTTATGCATGTAGCTGTTTTTAGTTCTGTGACCCACTTCACTTTACTTTGTGTGTGTGTGAGGAGGTAACACTCAAAGCTTTTTGTTTTTCTAAATGAATAACCAATTATTCATGAATAATTTATTTAAAATGGTATCCCTTCCTCTATTTCATAATCTTTGCCACACTGTTAAAAACAATTAGCCATGTATTTGGAGGTCAAGTTTTAGAGACTTCCTATTCTGTTTCTTAATCTAAGGCTGTATCCTTATATCAATGAGGCCCCACGTTAATTACCATGCTTTTATAGAATGTTTATCAACAAACAATGTTCTCTATTATTATATATATATATTTTAAATCTGGCTATTTTAGATACTTTGGTCACAACTGTGTTGAATCTATTGATATATTTCAGGAGATTTGCTATATCAAAATATTGAATTTTATAATCCAATCCATCTTTCCATTTATATAGGCTTTCTTAAGTTTATTCAGCAAGATTTTATTTAGAGTTCAGGTACAGGTACATTTTATTAATTTTATCCTTAATTATTTTGTACTTTAATGATATTTTACATAGTTTTATGTCATTTTCAAATTAGTTGTTACTGGTATATAAAAATAGATTTGACTTTCATACCTTGCCTTGCATGTATATTTTGTTGAATTTCCTTTTTTTGTTCTAGGAACTGTTTTTTAGATTACTTAGCATTTCTACATATATAATCATCTGTGAAACAATTTTTCTTTTTCCTTTCCTATTATGGGGGGTTTATTTATTTTATTTCCTTTATTCTTCAATACTAATCAAAGGTTTCAACAGAATTTTACTAGAATATTTAAGAACAGAATGCTTGCCTAGATACTTTTGCCAGTAAGTGTGAAGTCATGGAGTTTATGTAGCTGTGAAATGAAGTTAGTTGCCTTTCACTAGATTGAAGAAGTTTTCTTCTATTTCTAATTTGCTAAGGGTTTATGTCTTGAATGGATGATGAATTCTGTCAAATGTTTTTCTGCATGGTTTTTCTCTTTTATTCCTCTCAAATTAAAATAATATTTTTTTCTCTTACTATGATAAACCCTACTTATTAAAGATTTATCATCCTTTTCATAAATTTCTAGCTTCAATTAACTGATACTTTGTTACAGGTATTGCATCTATCTTTTTGAGGGGCATTAGAATATAGTTTCATTTTCTTATAATATTGTTCTTGATTGTATCAGCAGAGTGAATGTCGACCTTATAAAATAAGTTGGGCAGTGTTCTCTCTTCTTTTATATACTGAGGGAATTTGAGTGATTTGGTTTTATTGTTTCCTAAAGTTACTTCATTCACTAATGAAACTATTTGCTCTGGGGTTTTCCGTATAGAAAGGACTTTACTACAAATCCTTTTTAAAATTAACACAGACTATTCAATTTTTTAGTTTTAAGACCAAAAATTTTCCTCTAAATTTCAGATATGTTGATATGTTGGTCATTATCTCTCTGCTGGATTCAGAGAAGGGTACTATTTTGTATACTATCTGGCTTTTTCACTTTACCTGAGAGGAATATTCTACATTTTAAGCCCAACTGTAACTTCAAATGAAATATTATTCTTTAAAGGAACAATAATTTGTAATAGCACTACTAAACCTGGAATGAAAAGTGTTCTGAATTTTCAATTTGTCTTTAAACTCATTAATTGAATTTGATGATTTCCAGTTCATACACATATAGAAACTCAGTAAAATTTATATAAAATTTATGTTTATATATAACATTTATGTTGGTGTCTATTAGCTGTCATAGTATGGCTCATGTCTCCACAGAGCTTTGGGTGCTCTGTGACCCAAACTTTCTCCTCTATCATTGAAATAGTAGATGTTCTGAAGCATTATGCATCCAGTTCAACATTTCTTTCCTCTGTCTATTCTCTCTCTGGAGAATAATATTCAAATTCTAAAAATAATGCCCAAATCTGGGTTTGACATATCTTAAAATAGGCTGAATTAGGGATTTTCTTTTGAAATAACCCCACTGTTTGTGTCTATAAAGATTTTTATAATGTGGATCAGCTGTCATCAAATTTGTAAATTTTAAGCTGATTTTACCCTCCTACAAGTGTGTGTGTGTGTGTGTGTGTGTGTGTGTACACTTGCATCTGTTACATATGTATTATTTGGGGGTAAACTCTGGGTTTGTTTTAGGATGGTATTTCTACACAGCAATTTTGCATTTGTTTCTGCCTGGGTAAGAAATAACAAAAAATAGCTCACTTATTTTTAGCATAAATTCCCAGTGCAGGTAATATAAATTAATAATCTGTAGCCATACATAGCAAAGACAAGCATTTATTTTTTTAGGTAATTATTTTCCTCATGCAAAGACTCTGGGTAGAGAAAGATCTGTTTTAGTCAGCTTTTTTCACTGCAGTAACCAAAAGACCTGACTAACAATTTGAAGGAGGAAAAGTTATTTTGGTGCTCATGGTTTCATAGGTCTCAGTCCATAGATATCTGACTGTTGCTCTGGGCACAAGGTGAGATGGAACATCATGGCAGAAGGGTGTGGTGGAAGGTAGCAGCTGGGAACATGGCACTAGGAAGCAGAGAGAGAGAGAGAGAGACTTTTCTCACCATAGACAAAATAAAAACCCCAAAGTCATGCCTCCAATGACCTGCCTCCTCCAGCCATACCCTAATTACCTACAGTAACTACCCAGTTAATTAATTAAGGGATTAATACACTCATTAGATTAAGAATATTATAACCCAATTATTCCATCTCTAAATTTTCTTGCGTTGTCACATATGAGCTTTTGGGGGAGACCCTATAGCTAAACCATAACACTTCCTCAAAAATTCTCTTGGTCATTAAGTGTATAGTTTTTCTTCCTCCACTCTTTACAGATGACCATCTATCCATCCACCGTCTAGGGTTTATTCACGGATCTTACCTCCCGTTCTACTCATCCCCTACCTCTACCAACTAGTTTAAGCATAATACTTCACCCACTTATCCAACATGAGCAATAAATCTTTAAGCCTGGGGTCTCAATTCTGTCTGATTTCTCCTCAGCCATTGCAGCATTAGCATTTGAGCTACTCCTCAGGCTTGAAGTTCTGCTATATTTATGTCAACAAGAGAATTAGGCTGTTTTTGTTTTGGGATATTGTGCATTTATTTATTTTTTCTTACACTTTACCTAGTGTTCATATAAGCTTGCAGGGTCTCTGTGTGTGAGTGTGCACATATACACATGTGAAGGTAGGTTTCTCAATCCATCAGTTGCTGGAGTTGAACCTCATTGCCCTTTCCCTGGGAAGCTCATGCTCTGTGTATCAAAGAATACATGCATTTCAATACTACCTCAAATTTTCCCATCATATCTGTGTTTTTGCCATGATTAATAATGGCCGGCCTGTCTTCTTCATTTTCCAAATATGAAATTTTGGAGTCATCTTAAATCCAACCTTAGTTGTTCAGATCCAATAAATCACCAAGTTAATTTTGTAATTGCAGCATTTCACTTAACATATTTTAGAAATCTCAGTGACTCATGAATATAATGAATATAATATTTATCTTTCATGGATATTTTTATGAATATTTTTATGAAGATTAAAATAAGATAAATCAGATAAAAATTACTGCAAGACTGGTACAGTAGATTCAGTAAGTTGGCTACCAGCTACCTAGTGACCAAAATCAACCCAACATTTACATTTTAATTAGTAATATCTATGAATTTTCACAAATTTACATATCTCACATACCTACTTAGAATGCCTGAATAAAAAATAGTTTTATAACTTTTTAATTCACATTTTATTAGCTATCTGTGCATATGCAGTGTCTCGTTCATCGTATAAACTAAAATATTGGTGTGAATGGCTAGAAATTAATTAAGCATTAAAATTTAGCTATTATTCTCTGCCAGACACTTTTTAATGTTTTATCTAATTCATCTTTACAACAAACCCATAATTGATTATTATTATTATTCCTGCTTCATAAAAGAGGGGACCTAGGCACATTAAAGCTAAATACTGTAAAGATGTCCCAGGTAGAAAGGAAAAGAGGCAAGATTTGAATACTCAGAGACTGTATGTAGAGCTGAAAATGCTGTCTACTGTGCTGTTCTGAATGAATATGTTAACAAAATATTAATAGTGGGGTTGCTGTCCTTTGGGAAAATCCAGCTTGTCAAGTGCATTCTCAAGCATGCTACCCAAAACTAAACTCCAGCAGTGATGAGACACATGGAAATGGAGTGACACTTAATGCTTCCTAGTTTCTGAGGTTCCAAGTCTTTTGGTTCCATTTATTAATGCAGTTAATCTTCTGGTAGCCACATCAGACTCAATATGTTCACTTATAATGAATTTACACGGAAATGAAACAACTGGATTTTTTCAATAGGAATTATTCATAGATTTTTCTTCTTCATAGTATAATAAGTAGTCATTTCTACGTAATCTATGGAAGACTGAGAATGTATCCCAACTAAATTGCACTTTCTTACTTCTGGTTCATAAATCAAATTTGTGGACATTTTTGGAATCTATTTTGTCTTTTATAGTATTAATTAGTTATTCTCCCTAGACCTGTCATCAGTTCTGTGTTTGTAAAATCTCATACGAGTTATTAGCAACATATTAAGAAGTGTGTTTTTTTTTTTTTTCACAAATAGGCAAAGTAATGTCCTATTAATATAGTAATCCATGCTGTGTCTTTGAATTGATACAGTTTTGTTAAGAAAATGCTCCAGAATAGAACTGATATATATTTTGTGTTGTGATTCCATGTCTTTGTCTCTTTTTCTTTCTCTCCTTTTCTTCTTCTTTCCTTTCTCCTCTATTTTCTTCCTCTCTTTTGTCTTGTTTCAGATAATGTTAAGTTGTAGTTCAGTTAGATAATAAAGTAGTTAAGTAAGTAATTAGTGTTGGGTTCGTCCTACCTTTGAGCATTCACTCAATGCAAATTGTGGCTTGGGTCACAGGATAACCAGACTCTTGAGAACTCTTTATGTGAGAACAACCAGATTTTTTTTCCATTTCCTCTTCACAGAAAGAGTGGTAATTTGATAACATACTTGTGCCTTTTCAATTTTAATAAACAGAGAGTCTTGTCATCTACAGCAATATACAGATGATGTTATTGAAGAAATTAAAAATATATGCAGTGTTCTTGGGTGCGTGGAAACCAAACAAATTACAGATGCAGTGAACAAACTAAATCTAATTCTTCAAGGAAAAACAAAGGTAAATATATCCATTTGTTACACAGTAACTACATTAAACCAGAGCTCAGTAATTAATTAAGGAAAGCGATAGACTTTTGATTTGATAACTATATATATATATAATATATATATATAATATATATATATATATATATATATATTATATATATATATAGATAGATGTGTTTACATGTGTATTTGTATGTGTGTGCATGCACATGGTATATATCTATCATTTGGGAATAACTGCAGCTTGTTATTGTTACGCCAAATAGATTTAATTAAATTAAAAGAAAATTTCTTACACCTTTAAAGTTTGTAATCATCCTATAACTTCCAAGTGAAACTGAAATCAGTCCTACCTAGATAAATATAACATTTCACATGCACATGTTTATATAGGCTATTGATGACTCTCACAACCATTAATGTGTGCCCTTATAAGTGCCCATGCTCGTGTATTCAAGCACATAATTAGAAAAGAAGGTATCAGCTTCTCAGTTATCTTTTACTGAATTTGTAGTGCATAATGCTACTAGGAATTATGAGTGCATTTTTCTGAATACTACATCCTTTGCTGATTTTCTGGTTTAAGGGGGTTTAAAAATGGACATCACGTGGTTTTTCTAAATCCCAGAAATAAAGGGAGAATTATTAGTGTGGCTATTGCCAAATAAAAACGTGAAATCTGGTTACAATGCATCCAAAATTATTACTTTAACATAAAATAAAACAGAAATGGATATAATAATAATTATTACTATTACTATTATTATTATTATTATTATTATTATTATTATTATTATTTCCTCTTTTATCCTCAGGAAATATGTCTAAGATCCCCAGGGTATGCCTGAAATCATAAATAGTACCAAACCCTATATATACTGTTTTCTCCTATACAGATATATCTATAATATTATAAGTGTAGTTTATAAATTAGTTACATTAACAGACTAAGAGCAATAAAAATAAAATAGAAGAATTTTAATAACACACTATAATAAAATTGACAGCATTACTACTCTTGCACTTTGGAGCTACTGTTAAGGAAAGAAAGGATTTCTTGAATGCTACAACTGCACTGCTGTGATATTCAATCTGATAACCTCAATGACTACCAAATGACTACTGGGCAGGTAGTATATACAGTGTAGATATATTGGAAAAAGGGATCATTAAAGGCCTGGTTGGGAAAGTGTGGACAAAAAGAGATTTCTTTGCTCTACTTAGAGTGGTGCATAATTTAAAAGATAAATTATTTGTTTGGGGGGCTTTCCATTTAATATTTTCAGAAGGTGATTGACCAAGGTAACAAATCTCACAGAGAAAAACTACAGCTAAGGGGGAATCATAGTAACTTATACTTGATAGTGCATCTCAATATATAAAATAATTTCACATATACATTAATTTTTATTTCAACTAATCCTCAAGCAATGCCATTAAGTTGGCATTGTAATGTTTATTTTATTGTCAAAATCTGATGTTCATAGTGTTGTGTACAGGGGACTAATACATGACAAAACAGAGATTTGGACACAGGTCTGTATACACGTTCTTAACACAGGTGACACTTCTTGAGAGTGTGTATCTTCCTTATCTGCATAAAAGGAACAACAGAGATTATACTTTCTTCAAATATGTCAGCCTCGAAATTTCCAAATGGTTGACTTAAGCTGCACATAATTATATTTTCACCAAATGTTTAAATTATTGTGCTTACTGCTTATATTCTCAAATAGGGAAATGACTGTCTACATCTTATGTTAATCAGGACTTGTTTTATGTGATAGAACAGTGAAAACAAATGTAGAAATTGAATAAATTACTTATATTATCTGAACAGTGTCAGTGGTATTCTGGGAAGCAATAGAGGCATATCACCAAATAAAACGAAGATAAACATTGATTAAAAACTGAAAGCACAAAGCATTTGTGAAATCGAATCATAAATAATATCATCAATAAACTTCAAAATTCAGTGTCTAAGGCAGATGTGGCTTGTTTCCACAAGTTTTCCTTCATGGGTAAACACCTACTGTTTAACTTTCTAATTATTATAAAAAGAAATGAAATAATTACACAGTCTCCAAATGGTTTGCATGCGTAGATATTAAGGTCTATGGTCTTCACAAATGATAACAACATAAAAAAATCTGATGTGATCAAATTTAACTTGACCATATTTTTCTATTTTGTGTTAGAGTAAAAAAAAAAGTATTCCATAGTCTTAAAAAGCATACCACCAGTATGTTTTGAAAACAAATGTTTCAATTAACTTAAAAATGTGAAAATTATTTGATGGTAAAGAAGAGCCTTCTAATAAATGAAGTTAGATCAGGATACCAAGGTAGTAAGAACAAACTTTCAACAAGTAATTAGTTTCTTGTAGATTAAAACATTTTGGAGACATTCTAAGTACCTAAAGCTAATAATAAGATATGGTGAGCTTAGGCTAATGCAAACATGGTTTGAATTCAAGATCTATCCATTTCTAGCTCACTGTACTTTGGAAAATTAAATGCACTTCTCTGAGTTTTAGTTTTCTCTATTTCTAAATAAAATAACCAGAATTTTCAGGGTTCTTGTGAATAGAGGAATTAACAAAGGGCCCAGATGATTGTGCTGCTTTACTAAGAGTCATTACTATTTCTGGAGTGGTGAGAAGAGTACTGCAGGCAGGTTTTTAGAATCATCCTCATGAGGTCAACATGATGTCTACAATTCCCTCAGCACATGTTAGCTCCACATCATCTCACCGCCTTATGACAAGTATGAACCTTTGCCATTGGAAGGGACCAGATCTAGGAATGTGAACATGTGTTACCCCTTCAGTCAAGACTATTTGAATCTTTTCAATTCAAATGTCCAGCACTTGGTGAATCAGTAGAAACAAGTAACAGATCAACTGGAATGAAGAAAATATAATTTTAGTATGCAACGCTTTAAACAATACTGTTATTCCTAGGTATAAAAAGCATCATCTTCAAAATACTCATTTTCTGTGAAAATTTTCATTTTTATCCTTTTAAGGAATTTCAGAAAATGAGTATTTTGAAGATGATACCAAGTGCTGGACATTTGAATTGAAAAGATCTAAATAGTCTTAACTGAAGGGAAAACTCCTTAAAAGGATAAAAATGAAAATTTTTTTCAGAAATATCAAACTTTCAATGTAGTGGAAGCCAAAAGAAGACTTCATGTAGAAATTGATTATTTCTATGAAAGCCATGCACAATTAGAATACCCAAGAGGAGTTCACCTTTGCATTTCATCAATCTATGTACTTAGAACCACTGAATCTTGCATAAGTTTTCTGTACAACTTAACTCATTATATAAAAATTTGTGGTATTTTTATAAGACTGAAATGATTTTCATGAATATAAATGAAGAAAAGAGTTAACAATTATGAGTTTTATTTAGTATATATTGTGGTCAAAATAGATAGTTCAGTAACCATTACCACCCAAAAGAGAACATTTTTATTTTTAGCAGAATTTAAAAGTTCATTTATTCTACATCATCTACAGTCATGCTTTTTGTCCATCTCTTTTTCCATTCTATCTTAATTGTGAGTCCACCTATTTAAGAATGTTGGCACAAATATTAAGTACATTTTGCAGAATTTGTGCAGTAACCAACTTTAGTTAACAATGCCAAAACAATTCAAACTATCCTCCCACCACAAAACTAAGATTAAAGAAATACTGAGAACTCCAGGTCTACTGCCAACAAACTCTGAAATTTGAGAAGTTTTCTTTTTTCTTGGCTGCAGTTTTGGTCAACTTGCAAGAGACTATTTCCTGCTATACAGGGAAGTAATTAGTTTTTTATTAAATGCAAGCTTTGCCAAGTTGAAGAATTATGTCACAAATGCATTTATGCTGTATTCCATGCTCCCACTTAGCACTGGAAACAAATTTCTATCCTTCAAATAATATTCTAGAAGTTCACCTAATGTATTTCCATTAAATACTCACACAAAAAAATGAACCACAAAAATGAAAAATATGTTCTTTCACGTTGTGGTGTAGGTGGATGTCATGGTGATTTTATAATGCAAGTCTGTATTTCTGAAGAAATTGGATTCTAGTTAATCCAGGTTAACATCTTTAATAGTCTCACCCACGTGGATGAAGTGAATACCTTACGTGCAGTTGTTAAGATCAGTGGTTGATGCTATATACAGATGAGATATTTTACCTAATAGAAAAGCTTCTTAGTAGGTTCATATAATGACGCTTTTAAGTGAAATGTTTTATATAAATTTAATTATGTTTTTAAATGACAGAAATGTTTACTCTTTACTGGAATACTGTAGTCTTTATATGTTTCTTAATTAATTGGATTTCCTTTAAAACAAACTTTAAAATTTTACTTAAAAAGTGTTTAGGGCCAGACATGGTAGAATGTATCTAAATTCCCAGCTACTCAAGATAGAGGAGCTAAGGAGTTCAAAGTCAGCCTAGGCAACATAGTGAGACCGTGTGTGTGTGTGTGTGTGTGTGTGTGTGTGTGTGTATTTAAATTCTTAAATATCCTGTGTCAAAATTTAACCTTATTAGAAAATTGAATTTTCTTTTGGGCTGAAGTTTTAATTTTAGTGACTCTACTAACAACCCTGTACAATTTTCATGATAATAAAGTTATAACCAGAAAATCCTAATCCTAAGTAATTGGAGTATAAATGACTAAATAAATAAATGTCATGATGCTAATGGAAATGAACATGATAACAAAGAAAATGAGCATAAATAACAATGAAAATAATCAAAAGTGAAACATTAGATTGTTAGTTTTTTTAAAGCTCTGATTCAAGATGCACTATCTTTCTCTAGTGTTTGACAGTTAGCTGTTTTTTTTTTAATACCCTAAAATTAAAGAAAGAAATAAAACTATACAGTGATTCTACATAACTTGATCTACTTCAATAGAGTCCTCTTTTTGGCACTAACCAAAGTTTACATTTGAATAATTGCTAATAATAAGAGAGACAACACAAAATAGAACTGGAAATGCATTATGTGAAACAATTAGTGTCATGGAAGGAAGACAGAACTTAAACAATGTATGTAGAATAATTCTAATAATAATGAAAAGAACTAAACCTATTCTAGCAATTTCTTTTATTAAAAATTAAATAACTCACACTTTTTATTAGAGTATTCAGAAATGTTTCTTTTTTCATATAATTTAGATTCTTTCTTTAATAAGCAAGATGGACATATGATTCTAAGAAATATTTTATCTTTTTCTCATTCCAGAGATATTTTATTGTTTAGATTTTGGTTATTATAGGTTTGATTACTTTGTAAATTTGTCATCTGAATAACAAGTATGTTTTTGGACCCTTTTTTTTCAGAGTTTTCATCATGATTCACAGACTTCAGTAAAAGGTAAGACATACATATACTCACATATTTTAAAAAGAAAGAAAAAGATTCACTTATAGAACTCCAAATATTTTTTTCAATGTTTAATCCAAATACTGTAGTAACTATGCCCTAACTATGTGAAATACTTTGTGAGGGGAAGAAATACTTTACTAAAACCCTTTCACTAATGGAAGTGATAATTCTTCAAGGGAAAAGAAATTCACATTATTTTAACTTTCATCCTGATATATTTTAATAAGGGAGAAAAGAGATCTATTAAAATTAAAGAAATATTAAAATCTTCCTGATAGCAATTCTAAGACACTGCAAAATTTTACTATTAATTATACTTTGATGTAACAAAGATGAGAAAATTTCAGATCTCCAAAGTCACTAGTTTCAAATTTAAATTCAAACTCTATTTGAAAGACCAGATAAAAGGATTAGGTTATGGAATAATCAGTATTCACCAGAGTTCCAGGACTATATTATTAGAAAATACAAGAGGACAGTTTCTAGAGAAAATGGTGGGTGTGTGTGATGTAGAGCAGGGTCCAACTTTCAAATCAAGCAGAACTGGTTTTGAATCCCAGTTCTGCCACTTCTTAACTCTGTGACCCCAGAGTAAACTCTTTGATCCTCAGTTGTCTTAGTATACATAAAAGATACGATCATACTTCATTGCAGGGTGTGGTCAGGGCTGGTCTTGTTTGCACAGGCAGATGGTTTTTGGCACAGGAACACTCCAAGCATTTTTAAAGAGATTGACTCACAGATGTTCAGTTACTAACCTTGGATGCAGAGATAACTCCAAGTTGCCTCCACATCCTTACTCTTTTCAGTAAAAAATTGTGTACAGAAGGATATCCTCTTTTTTCTAACTCCCACTATTAAAAGAAGACAGTAGATTATATCTGAGGAACTCCCCCACCTCTCTCATAGAAAGTAGTGGACCAGCAGAGGGTATGAAGAAAAAAAATGAGTGACTGGAAAGGCCGCTGTTCTATCTGTTCATAAATTCCATCCCACCAGGGAGGAATAGATGGGATGAACACTCCATCACAATATTACCAGCACAGAGTCTAAGGAGTAGTGAGTGGGATGGAAAGCTGGAGGAAGATCAATATGGAACTGGCCTCACTTCCTTTCTGCTAGGAATGCTGTAATGAACTTTCTTCCCCTCATATTCCTCGGAGAAATAAATATAAAATTCCACAAAAGTGTACAGCAATTTGCATAGAGATTTATCTCCTATGATAAATTATGACAGATTCTAATTACTCTATTTAATTACATATACATTGTCATTGCTTCTTTATTTCATGGTGCTATAATTCTTTTCCAGGAGTATCTCAGTTGTGATATGCATTATTTCACCATATTTCTCCACCAAGCCCAGGGATTGTGTCCTTAATACATTTTGATGATATTATTTAAAGTATATTCTTCATTCAGAGCTCTGGAAAGTAGTGCAATGCATATGCACACATCTCTTAAACAACTCAAAGAAGCAAATAAGAACTGGCTTTCTACACACACACACACACATACACACACACAAATAGAATTTGAGTAATTATCCAAATGATTAAGGATCCCCAAAGTATGTGCTAGGACTTGAATTAATAATATTTCTAACCCAGCTCTATGATTCTTTTTAGATAGATAATCATTAGCACATATGCACAAGATTGGGAATTATTGACAAGAAGTTTGTGCTTCCTGCTTCTGTACAATTTGGGGACTGGGAGAAAAGATGTTTCCGTACATTTTTAATTCTTTGACTCCTATGGTTCAGGAAAATCCCTGTTAGTTAGCCTCCAGAGATTGATGAGGCTTGTTTTAATACTGTTTTATGTTATTTTACTGTTACGCTTCATTATTGTTGTTGATAATTTCTCAAATCAATTTAATTGGAGTTTTTTTTTTAATTGGGACTCTGCTAGTCCCTCCCACCCCAGGCTGTTTCAACAAAGGGCACAATATAAGAAATGTAGTAAACAAGTAAAATTTATGAATAACTAAGTGAATAATAGCAGGTGTTGAACAATAAAGAATGTTTCAGCATGGAGAGAGCCCTGAGGGGCTAGAAGAAGCTCCATGCTGAAGCTGGCCTCTTTCCTGAAGTACTACATCACGTGCCCCAGCACAGGTGCAGAGCTGACTACTAAAGGAAAAGCTAGCTCTTTGTATCATTGTTTTTTCAAAGCAACTAAAATCCAAAAAGCAACATGTTTCAGAAACAACTTAAGAGGAAGTTGCATGTGTTTAAACAAACACCTGGGCCAGATGACTTGGTCCGGCATATTTTGGAATTACAGAAGATCTTCAGAACATCATTTCTAATGATGTTTCTGATGATGTACCTACTTGTTCTCTCAACATCTCCACAGCTACCAAGAGAAAACTCATAGCCCATACACTTAGTCTTTTTTCTTCATGCATGACAAGTCTCTTTCAGTAATAATCAATAAATGTTTTAAATAGCTAATGGTAAAATTTAGGAGAGGATTTGATTTTGAAGAGATTTAGTAAGCATCACAAATCCTTCATTTTGAGCTTGTTTCAAATCCCAGTCACGTAGCATTATCATTTTCTTTTAATACCAGCACACTGTCGTGCTAGTTAATAATAAACAACATAGCATAATCAAACTTGTTATGATTAATTCTCTAGATAGCATTTATATATGTAGAAAACATTCCTTGTCTGAAAATAATTCTAAAGTGAGTAGAAGGTGACTAGAAGACCATGTTTGCAAAATGTCTACTGCTGAAAGTAAGAAAGACTATTGATAGCTAAACTACTAGCACCTAAGCCAGACTGTATTCAAAGACACAGATGGCTAATTGGCTTCTGTTGGTAAAGGTCATTTTAATTAAATTTTACTTAAACTTTATCATAAGGAATTTCAAAGTCATAATTGATAGCTTATGATAAATATAACCCTCACAGATGTCCTGATCTTTACCTTTTTCTCCCCTAGGCTTTATAGAGAAAGTGACAACTGAACTATCCACATCCATCTACCAGCTTATTGATGTCTATTGTCACAGCTTTTATGCTGATTTTCAGCCTGTAAATGCACCTGGAAGCATTTCCAGTGTAAATCCTGGACTCCATTCCCATCTCAGCTTCACAGTCTATGCGGTACACAACATTCCAGAGGCATGGATGGGCAGGTGAGTGGTGGCAGGTTTTCCCACAAAAGGGGTAATTAGTTTTTACACAACTTCCAATTAGAGCAAAATTTATCTTGTTCTCATTTGCAGGAGCAAGTATTTCATACAAATTTAGAAATCAATTGGCATAAACTTATCTTTATTGGTAAAAGAACATTTTAAAAGTTCCGATTCTCAGTGGTCATTTATTTCCCCACTTCTTCCAATCTCCTCCATATTAAAAAGAATTGCTGTTGTCAATAATCATTGTGGAAATAGAAAATACTCATCCTATTAGATGGCTACCATAAAATTGTCTTTATAGTATTTGGATTTAAATGACTTATGTTAAGAGAGAGAGAGAGAGAGAGAGAGAGAGAGAGAGAGAGAGAGAGAAAGAGAGAGAGAGAGAGAGAGAGAGAGAGAGAGAGAGAGAGAGAGAGAATTTTTAAATATTTATTTTAGTTTTCAGTGGACACAGCATCTTTATTTTATTTTTATGTGGTGCTGAGAGAGAGAGAGAATTAGTTTACAAATAGAAAAAGAAAACACTCTGATTCTCATCAAGTTATTGAGTGGTAGATATTTTGTAAGATTAATACCTTGATATAGTGAGAATTAGCCAATAATTACTTGAATTCCAATAAAAGAAACCACATATTTATTTATGCATAAATAACTCTGGATTTTAGGTTGAATCTATGATGTAGTATTCTCTTAAAATAATTAGTGTAAGATAGCATAATACATTTGAATTTCTTATGACTACCCATATAGGAGAATACTGATTAAATTAAAGTTGATATTAAAATACTAATTTGTTGGTGAAAATATTATATGTAATGCATTTGGGATCTCAAAAAAACTGAAAGGAATAATTTTAGTAATGATAAATAATTTTGCTTGATATGATATTTTTTGCAAATAAATAAACTGTATAACTGCTTACAGAGTCAATTTAAGTTTTCAAAAAAACTGAAAGGAATAATTTTAGTAATGATAAATAATTTTGTTTGATATGATTTTTTTGCAAATAAATAAACTGTATAAATGCTTACAGAGTCAATTTAAGGAAAAATATTACCTATGCTTGATATGATTTTTTTTGCAAATAAATAAACTGTATAAATGCTTACAGAGTCAATTTAAGGAAAAATATTACCTATGTAAATAAACCCCCCACACACAAACACACACACACACATTTCTTCCAAATTCATGGAATGGTACTTTTATACATTTTTCTCTTTCCAAATTTTATGATGAATTTTAAAGGGCTGATATATAATATTATACATTGCTAAATTTTCTAGCCACCAAAATATATCCCTTAATTTTAATTCACATGTAAAATCTCTAGATAAATAGAGGTAAAGCTATATGTATAGAGCAAGTACTGTGTGTGTAATTATATAAATTGAGGAGAATACATGTAATATAAGTTTTTACAATATATAAATATTCACATATGTATATAAACATCAAATGCATCTATAGAGTTAAAACACATTGTGTGTTTGTATAAATATAATCTATCTATCAAACTCGCCTTTTTCATCTTTCTCTACATTAGACCTATATGCGGAAAGAAAATATTTAGACCATTTTAAACACAGTTACATAGAGGTGGTATGTGTGTGTATACATAAATTATAGATACCAAATAATATTTTTTTTCTACAAAAGTATCTATAATCAATGAATAAATGAGAATTTTGATAGAAGAAGCAAATTTATCCCATTCATTCATTAGAAGAACAAACTACACAAGCAGGTCTGGAATAGGAGGGGAAAAACCCACTGGTCTTCTTCTCTTAGGCAGCCCATGGTCCGGTCACCTTAGAAATTCTGACAGAAGAGGTTCCAGTAAGACATCTTTTATGGTGACAAATTATAATTTTATTGTAGGTTTGTTAGTGTCCTATCAGTTGCTACATAACAAATTACCCCAAATTTAGCAGCTTAGTCCAATAAACACTGACTAGCTGACGTTTTGAGGGTCAAGAACGTGGGGAGCAACTTAGGTAGATGGGTCTGGCTCAAGATCTTATGTGTTGCAGTCAAATTGTCCACTGAGGCCACAGTCATCTCAAGCTTCACTGGGACAGAAGAACCTACTCCCAAGATCACTTGCTTGGTTGTTGGCACTCCTCAGTTCCTCAGGGTGTGTAGGTGTGAAAACTTGGATTCCTTTCCACTGAGTTGTCTCTGAGTTTCCCCAAGACAGAGCAATTGTTTATATACCAGAGCAAATGATCCAGTAGGGAAAGAGAGAGTTCATGAGCAAGGGGCACAGAGACAGAAGAAGCCATCTTCTATAACCTCATCTTGGCATCAAAACTTCTCATATTGGTACTGTGAGAAGGGATGATACCAGATTTTGAATACCAGGAGGAGGGATCATTAGAGACCATCCTGAAGGCAGGCTACCACACTGGAAAGAAACAACAAAGAAGGACCTAAGCCAGAGGTATCTCCAGAAGCATAAGTATTAACAAACTAGGGCACAAAAATAACAAAGTGGTAATTGCCTCTCTGACTTTAGTCATTAAGACTAGATTTAATGGCAGTGGTTGAAACGAATTTATTAAAGTTCAGAATTCCAAAATAAAAAAGTTGATGGATTTAAAACTGCATTATGATCTACTCTATGACCCGCTGTCAGTAAAGGCTCCAGGCAACTTATCAAAGATAAATGAGAATGCATCTTACTTAGCATAAGTTGATTAAAGAATTTTTTCCATGATTTCATTATACTGATTAAGAATCCATCCATATTTAAGCTAAATCTCTCATGATACAGGAAAGAAATTCTTCTTTAGCTTTCTCCTCTTTATGATTGAAAGTGACTTTATCTTACTCCATGATGAAAGTTGATGGATTTAAAACTGCATTATGATCTACTCTATGACCCGC